TGTTGGGGTTGATGCGAGGGTGAACTTTTCAGCAGCCCATATAGCCAACTGGGAGTACGTAGCGGTTGGATGTTCCTTGTGATGAGCATACAGCTCGTGCTTATCGGACAAGGTCATGCGTAGCTTCATGATTTCAGTGTGGAATCATGCAAACATCATTGAGCCTTTTGTAATTTCAATTTCACCTCGACATTCGATATTATACATTCATAAAAATTATCGACTCTGCCCGTTTAAAAGTCGGGTGGAAATCAGTACTTCCTCTGTTCATCAATAATGCGGACAATCCAAAACACTACTTTTTCCATAATACTGTGGACAATTCGAACAAATTGGCTTACAACAAGACGCAAACGCTTCATTGGATGCAATATTCACTGGAAGCCTAATTCAGAATGGTACCAGGGCATGGAACATTTTTTCATCAGTGTACCCGAGCGGCGCAGTTTGGCCTTGTTCAAATGTGGTAAACGGGGTTTCGGGGTTTCCGAAACCCCGAAACGTCATTTTCCCTCGTTGCAGTCAATAGACCGCCCTTCTAATTTTTCATCCTCTTTCCAAAATGATATTACTCATCGGATGTAGGAAATATATGAATTTTTGGGGTCATGAAATCGAGAAATGTCCACAGTAATGATGAACAGAGGAAGTATGTAAATTCACATGCAGCCATTCTAACTTGTACTGTATGAAATGAAGCGTTGTGCTGTATACTATACGCAATCATTGTGAACATTTTTACCTCGACTCGCGATAACAGCTCGGCAATGGTCGACATCCCTTCCACGAGCTTCAGGAGCAATGAAATATCAATTTCTTCCATGGTTTGACGGATGCAAGTGATCAGAGCAGCCATGCGCTTACCAATGTCGTACACTCTATCTGACATGATAGAATTCCCACAGATTATTGATGGGTCAATGTAGGGGACTTGGCAGGCCAGTTGATTACATCAACAACTACTTCCAACTGCTTGAAACAGTCCAAAACCACACAAGCCGTGTGGACCGAGGCATTTTCTCGTTGGAACTTGTACTTGTTGAAGTGCTTGGAGTCGGCAAGTGACAGTTTAAAGTTGTAAAGGGGGTCAATGTATGCTTCCGCGTCTTGTCAGCCTCCCAGAACCGCCAATTTTGTTCTTCGATTGCTGCTAAACCGCATACCAACTCCATTCAGGCGGTTGAGATGTGCTCGTGCAGCTTCGTTAGATCAGCCCAAGAGTACATGAAGCCATCTGGACCTTCCAGATTCCACTTCTTCTCGTCCGACCATACGATGTCGATAAGCTTCTCGTCCTATTCACACGCCTTTGATGATCACAGCGCAAGTGTTTTTGTTGGCTGGTGTCACCATCTACAAAGCAAATTGCTTCTTGAATTTGACCTCTACTCGTGTGCGTGCAGAAGCGAATGATTATCCCGTATGGTGTAGGAGGAGTAAAACTCCTAACACCCACAACACACAGATTATTCAATCTTGTTTCCAGTGCAGGTGGTAGTCTTGTCTTCGTGTTAAACATCAGGACCACAATCTTCGCTGCTTCAGACAAAGACCTTTAGTGGCATATGAAGACTGCCTAGTGTTAATCAGAGTGTAATTGTATGGGTTAGAAAATGGGTGTATGGATGTTAGTTGGTATAAACCCAAGTACCAACCCACGCAGTTTCCAATAATACGGCAATGGTACCTACCCAGATGAATGGGGCTACAAAGCAGCGCTGTTGTTCCACACACAATTTGCCGAGGAGTTTGGCAGTAGTTACGTACCACCTCCAACTCAAGATTGAAGTGAGGGGATAATACGGCTTTTCTCACGTTCAAGTTGCCCAACAGGTTGACCCTAATTTCTCTCGGCGGATTAAAAACTGTGGTGAGAACGCAACATTTAGCCACTTATCGAACGCAATACTCGAAATGCAAACAGAAAGGTCTCAAAACAGTACAATACAGTGAACTCGAGGAATTCGGAAGTGCTGAATTCGCTGTTGCTTTGCAGATCGTAGGCATCAAGTGCACCCATGAATGTGGGTGTGAATATTTACGGATATTGTTAATCTGACACGGATCCACGATTGGCCAACACGATTCGAAAGTAGGCAATTTTAATCTTACCAGGACGCGGATTGAACCTCGTACCAACTGATATGGCTATCCCCTATGAATTCGGCCTTGCGCATCTTGGCCTTGAAACGCTTCACCGCGTTACGCGCTCTTTTCAACTTCGTGAGCGCTTCACCATCGGTCATCTTCTTGGGGCATTTTGGGGTCATATGTCCGGGCTCGTTGCATATGAAACATAGTCGGCCACGCTCGCCAACACCAGGCGTTAACATCCGCGGTTGGTTCCCCGGTTGTGCTATTTCCTTGGACACTTGCGTGCCATACTTGATCGCTGCGTTATGTTGTTGGCTGTAGGCGTTCCACGTATCCACGCACCACCGGTGCAGGCTTGCCATAGCCCCCCTTAGGTCGCAGCTCGTTGCCTCGAGCTTCTTGCCACTTCTACACCTCGCGTTCATGCCGTTCTTGTCGCAACAGTCGTTTCGGCATTCGGCTACTAGGCTCATTGACATCTCGTCCGCGCTTGCGCTCTGTGCAACCTCGAGGCCCCAACACCAGTTCGGCCTGAAGGGTTCTCTCGAGTTGCTCACGTAGCACCTTTGCAAACTGCATCAAATCGCCGGCCTCAATTGCCTTGACCTGGTCTTCGACCCGTTGACGCAGGTCACTGGGGGATATTCGAGTCGCAAGGACTTTGATTAACGTCTTTATCATCCCTTTCATCTTGAGCTGTTGCGACAACCCGTGTTTTTTATCACGTCTTGGACCTTCTAAAGGTAGGAGACCAGACGAGCATTATCGAATGGGTCCAATCGCAGATGCTGGCAATGCATTTCCATATCTTGCTTTGTCCACATCCATTCGCTCGCGGGCTTACCGTTGATTTCCCGGATTCGGTAATGGTATTCGTCCTCCGTGAGATCGATCATCGCTGTGTTCCACACATACATGCAAGTCGACTTGAGCAGACTTCGATCTGACGACTCAATCCATCCAACCGCTGTCCGCTTCCAGTCGTGGCCCATGTGTTGTGCGATAGCCTTCAGCTTGTCTTCATACTTCTCGCGTTTGCGCGTCTACTGCACGAGGAATTCACGATCAATTGTTGTGATCGGAGGGCAGGGAACGTCGTCACCAGCGCTGGTCCGCTCATAGGTTTTCAACCGCCGCTTGTGGGTGAGTTTGTCCCCAGCGTACCCCAACACGCCTCATCTTTGTCATCCCCTTCGGGTGCCAGCCGTTGCACAAGTCTATCTCGTGCTTCCTGAGCATAGTCCCGTAGGTCTTTGCAGTTCCTGGGCTTGGACACACGATTATACCGGCGTCCTTCAGCCTTGATGCGTTCTCGCTCCCAATATTCCGCTTCTTCGCGATCTATCGAGCTATCCCAGGGCGGGCCAGGATGTCTACTCCATTTCTTACGCCGCTCTTCACGCTCTATTTCTTTCTTGTTTGCTTCCGCTAGTTTCTTCTCATGTTCGTCGGAATAATCTAGTTCGATGTATTCCCCTTCGAACGGGTGTGCAGGCAAAACTTCCCAGTGTGCATCGATTCGCTTCTCGGCCGTTGCATACTCTTGGGGACGAGATTGGAACTTTGTACCGAAGTTTTCGAGATCCCATCCCATGACTTTAAACTTCTTACCGGCAGGCAGCACTGACGCGGTCCCACTCTCTGGGTCTAGCGCAGGTTCCGTCACCTTCTTTTCGTCCTCGGTCTCGCTCCCGGCTTTGACGGCCGTCGTCGTCGACTTCACTCGAGATGAACTTCGCGTCGTCGTCGCTTGAGTTGGCGAAGTGCTAACGCTTCCTGTCATGGCTCTCAGTTCCGTGGTAACTAGAACCACTAAAGTTAACTTTGAGCAGTTTCCGCCCCGCTTGCAACACGAACAACCAGATAGGGGAGCGCTGCCTCCCGTGAATCACTAACTTGATTGAACTGCTGCCAAGCGGGCAAAACTAAGAGTGAGCTGTTCCTACTATTGCCTTTACACTCGTTCCTGATTGGCTCACCTTGAGTGACTATTGGCAATCGTAGTTCTTCTACAATGGTCAGTTCTGTGCAACTTGCTGATTCTCGTCGGTGGCGCTCGGTGGTCCTTTACAGGCCCCACCTGTGCGTGGCAGGGCATGGCTGACGCCACTGCACACAACACTGGTGATATTTCCAATACTTTGCCACGAACAGAACTTGGGCACTGGTTCCAACCAAGCATCTTTCGCTGGCATTTTCAGGCCAAGTTTGAGAAGCACGAAGTCAAACGCATGATCTTGGCGATGCTGATATATAGATTTCGTGTGAATCACAGTCCATGTCCATGGGCCGAGTTCATCGTTGGAACATTACCAAGCAATCCGTTCTGCTGAGAAAAAGTTCGCGGCAACACCGTGGCGCATACGGCAGTTCGCACACACAGACAGTGATGATTCAATCGAGCCATCAAGAGAGTGCTTGCGCACTTGAACTCCCGACGTGCCTTCTGCAACCGCGCAACAATTCATCGCGATTATGAGGGAAACACCTTCCCCATGCTGGTCGATGACACTGTGGGTGACGATTTGGGTAATTCTAACGTGAAGGGCAATGGTATGCATGGCGCACAAAATGTGTATTCTAGGCCAAATTGCATATGAGAGACAGGTGACCGCGCACATGAGGCATCGGGCAAACAAAGAATATTGAAGCTGCCTACGCGAAGGTTTACTGGTACTAAAAATGACAAGATGATCTTGACTTGGGATGGTATAGTCGATAAACGCACCCAAGTGCCTATCATGTGCTCTGCACCGCGCCGGAGATGACCCTCCTTTCGGTTGCTGTATTGCCACCCCCCACTCCGTGCGAGATGAATGCATTGGTCGGTAAGTAAGAGATCATATAACCAAACAAAACGATGTAGAAATGATTTACCATGGCTCGGTACATAGACAGGATCTTGCTTCGAGTGCAGTGACGCATGTTGTTTACTCGTCGCAAGTTGCTTTGATTCGTACACAGCAACGACATCGACCTAATTTTCATCGCTGGATTCTCTACGGGTGCACAGTTACACGACGTGCGCGCTTCTGTCAAACTGGAGGCAAAGCATCATTTGGAAGAGGTGCCACCCTCACAAACAACTCCGCATGAACTATCGCGAATATTCTGGTACGCGAAATCTATTCATGGTATCGTTGCAATAACCATGAATTTTGGGCAATTCGTAGGGACCATGGACATCCTTACTCCAGCCACGACCTCACACACCACGCTCCATCATATCTGGGGCTCGAAGGGGCAGTCTAGCCCACGATGCTGCATTTTCAGAGCTTCCTTCCAGGTGTGTGCTGCCCAAGAATTGAAGATACACAATGGATAGATGAAGGTTGTCTCTGATGTGTTTACCATGTAGGGAATGCGTGGAGATACTTATTATACAATTTCGATTTTGTCGGGGTGTGAAGAAGCGTATCCATCGACGATTTACCGTACACCGTATTTCTAGTGTTAGATTTGATGTAGGTTGTCCAATTCTTGATGTACAAGGTGAGCAAGGATACCAGTTTGATTGGAATATACTACCTCTGGTCCGCCTTAATGGGAAATGATGAATATTTTTTTAACAATTTTTCGAAGAAGAATTGTCTAGAAATAGTGGCTCAAAGTGCTTGATCCTGCAAATCCAATTGGCCCCTAAATTAAAAAAGCGCGGTTTTCATCAAAACAGAATACATGCTCTTTCATACTGAATTCAATATAAATCATGCGTATACTGCACAACAATCCGAATACGAAGGATGATGATCGTTTTTAAGCGGCAAATATTACATGGAGCGATTTTCATGAAAGACCTGACGTCCGACTAGCGCCAGGTAATGGTTGACCATCTCCTCTTGCACGTGGTGAAGCCACCGTGCCAGCACCAGCGAGGTGCGGTAAAACACGTTGTTCGAATCTTTCTCCGTGATCGCCACACAATTGGTGAAATAAGCGTGCAAACTTGTCGTTTGACTCGGAGGACTTACTCGCACGCAAAGTTATGTGCAAAGATATACCTACTAATAACCAATCGAAAGGACGTGTTGTCGTAAGCTTATGCACACTGATTTGCCATCTCGCCATTAATAACCAAACGAAAGGACGTGTTGCCGGAAGCTTATGTACACTGATTTGCCAGCTCGTATTCAGGCCGTACCAGGAGCGCACAACGTATAACCTTGCGCTAAATTGCCCATGCGGTGATGCGTGATCTGGCCCAACAAACTGCCGCGAAATTGGAAATGAGCGACATATTGACAGCGCTCGAAACTAATCGAGCTCAATGAGGACAAAGTGAGTGTTGGTAATGTTTGGGTTGGTATTCCACATTGTGTTTGTGTATTGGATTGCAATTATGCTTTAAACTTGCTTTGTCCATTCAAATAGCCTGTAATTCGTATTTATTAGTCTAGATATTTATCATATTTGTGTTTGCTCTCTTTGTGGGGTGTTTGTATGGGCCCTTCAACAATTTCGCTGCCGCGGGTTTATTTCGGACCAGAAGTTTGGAGCACTTCATTTATAATCTTCCAACATTTCACTATATATTTTTTTACTTATTTTGACTGCAACTTTCCAAACGTCAGTGAAATGAGACGTAATATCGTCAGGTCTCAATGAGAGGAAGAGAAGTTATATCTCAGGTTTATACTTGCAAAAGTTTTGATTGCGAAATAAGGATTGACATTTTACAAAATTTACTCCCTCCGTCCCACAATATTTGCGTAGTTGTGCGGAGGGGAGACATGTCCCATCATTATATTTACAAGTGATATTCAAACTTTACTGTCGCCTTCCTCAAGTTGAATTTGTCGTGTTTGATTGGTGCAATTGAACAAGCGCGCCAAGAGCTTTCAATTAACGTGTGATTGAGGGGGAAAAGCGCAGAAACAATGGCTCAAG